CCGGCACCCTCCGCCCACCTTGGCCCCCAGGCACTGCCAAAACCCCCTCTCTTTCACAGTCACTTTCAAATGTTCTCCCCCAACAAGGAGCAGGGCTTACTGTCCCATGTCCCATGTAAAATGAGACTCAGAGAACTGGGGCCCCAACTAGAAGGCAGAAGACCCCATTCCCAGAGCCAAGGGGAGTGGCTGGTCGCCAAGAGCCACATTTCAGCCCTCACAGGAGAGGGGGTGTTGGGGGCTCAGGCCTCCACGTGTCTGACCTGAGAATTTGCCAGCCTGAGGGTGACAGAGAAGGGGCAGGTCCATCTGGGGTCAGTTTCTGATGTCCTTACCCCACCCTTCCAGCCGTCACCTGAGGTCTGGGACACACCACTGGTCAGACCCAACCCCCACCACTACACAGGCTGACACTAGTCACCAGATCCCCAGCGCAGCCCAGCTGTTCCCATCTGGGCCCAATTATCCACCCCAGGGCCCATGCTGGTAGGCGGGTGTGGCAAATTGGGTGATGGGCCCCAGCTGTGGGTGGCCTCTGCCTCACCCAAGCAACCACTTGCAGCCACCATACAAGTGAGAGGCCAAGAGGGCAATGAGGTAGCTTAAGCATCACTTGACATGACCCCAAATTACCCAGCATCCTTAGCTTACCTCTCTCTGCTGAGCTAAAGAAGGCCCTGAGCTAAGAGCCAGGGAGGCTAGACCGCCGGTTGGTGACCCTGGGCAAATGTCCTGGGCCTCCGCTTGTCCATCTGCAAATGAAGGGCATGGGAGAGATGCCAGAGAAGGTCTCACTGCAGAAATGAACTTGCTGCCAGACCCCCTAGAACAGTTCAGGTTTTACTGTCAAGGTCTGGGAGTCTTCATCTCAAACCAGGTTCAGGAGTTGTGACTTGTGAAGTCCAAGCGCAGCCCCGTGCACCCTGGCACAGCCCAGCCAACATCGGGTGGAGGTGGGGTGGGCACCGATGCAGGCCCAGTGGGGAAGGCGAGAGGCTGACCCTGGAGGAGGTAGCTGGCTGAGGGGGAGGGGGAGGACAGATTCGAAGCTCACAGAGGGATCATGGTGGTGTGAACTTGCTAGCAGACTGAGTGCAGTGGGAAGAGAAGAGTCAAGGGTGAGGTCCGCGTTGGGGGCTTAAGACCCAGATGGGCCATTTACTGAGAGGAGAAAGCAGAGAGAAGAATGAGGGGACATGCGGGGATGGGCGGTGGGAGGTGAGCGGTCAGGCTTCCGTGCTGGGTGCTTTGGCATGAGACTCCTGCCGGACACCCACATAGAGAGGGCGAACTGGAGGGACATTCAGGGGAGAATTTGGTGGGACCCAGAGTCGCCACCAGCAGCACATGGGCCACGAAGCCCTGGGACCAGCTCGAGTGCCTGCAGCGGGGTCCCGGTGCATTTGGGGCCTCAGGCCCTTTGGTACCTGGTCTGGGTGAAGCTTATGGAGCTCCCTTTCAGAATAATATTTTAAATGCATAAAATATAAGGCTAAGAATAGCTAATAATGTTACAATCAAGCCAAAATACTAAAAGTTAAATCTGTAGAGTTACCCGGTGGTGAATGTGAGTAGCCATAATTCGAAAATCTTAAAATAGCATTTGAAGATACTACAACTATGTTGTGATATGAAATTAGACGTTTTAATTCTACTGGTAATAAAGCTGCAGGGCTAACTAATAGTGCTTTGGCTTGTGGCCTGTGCTCATAATTGAAGGAAATGCCCAATTTTAATTACAGGTTCTTGAACAAAAGATGTATGTTTTTTTTTCTTACCCAAATCTGTTGTCCCTGAATTCTTTTCACAGAACTTGTGGATTCTTAAAGGGTCCCCCGATAAGGACCCTGAACCATAGGAGATCATGTCCAGAAAGATGAGGAGTCTGAGAGGGGGTGGCCAGAAGTTACAAGGGTACATGGACAACTAGCAGAAAGTGCATCTGAGAGGTGATTCCAGAAAACAGAGGCAGCTGAGCCGGAGCAGAAGAGGATAACACAGACGCCGCCCCTAGAATTCAGGGAGGACAAGCCAGAGGCAGGTTCAAGCACAAGGGGTCCTTAAGGCCTGGGGAGACAGACTCAGCAGTGCAGGTTAAGGGTGCTTCTGAACATGGTAAAACGCACAGGTTTCATCACGCTATTCTTTAGTGTAATGTGACATGCACTGTAGCAATCGAATATTTTTATAATAATATAATAGTTTATTTTTACATCATTCTGTGCCTTTTTCCATCTCAGTTGCAATCCCCGTGGGCCTCCCATCACCACATCACCCGTGTGCCATCACCATAGTCCAGTGCACTTCCTTCCCCCCGCCCCCATTTTTGATCCCATTCCCCACTCCACCCCTGTAAAATATCTCTGGTATATCGCTGTTCATCATTATTATTTTCCCC